CCTTAGCCTGGAAAAAGCCTCCCCACAGCAGCAGCCTCAGAATCTGTCATCAGTAGTGCTACTAGATGCAGTGTGCTTCCTGGATTTGTATATTGATCTTCCTTAAATAGAGAATTTACTATTGACTTGTTATTTTTATAGAAACAGAACAACAGATGCTTGCATTTCTGTCTTTTCATAGTGGATGCTTGTGTGCAAAGGCAGAAATTTTGTTTTTCTGTTTTTTCCTTCATGTGTACATGGATGTTTGAACATTGATTCTCTGTCTACTATTTTGGTGGAATAGACCTGTTGCCAAATCTGGGTTGAGAGGAACCTCTGGGGGCCACCTGTCCTGCCCTCCACTGGCAGAGAGTCATTGTCATCGTAAGATGGTTTCTGGGTGTCTTAGGGCATCTAGAGGAGGAGGGAGAGAAAGCAGATGGGTGGATATCCAGGCTCTAAGTTCACTCTCACTTGAAGCAAATGTTTCATATATTGAGGTGGGGATAAAAACAGTTTGCTTTTTTTAAATTGTCAAAGTGATGTACAGAGGGGTTACAGTTACGTAGTAAGGTAATAAGTATATTTCCTGTCAAACTTGTTACCCCTTCCCTTATTTTTCTCCCTCTTTCCCTCCCCCGCAATCTGTCCTCCCCAAGTTGTAAAGATCATTTTCAAAATATTGTCTTGTGAGTATCGCTCTTGCATTGGTTCCTCCCTTGTCCTTTGTCTCACCGTTCTGTTGCTCTCTTTCCCATTCCTAATTCAGATAAATGTACATACAATACCAGGGTATTGTACGTTGATACCAGGGTATCAAAATCAAAACAGTGACAACTGGGGATAAACTATAGGGGGAAGATCACACAAAAGAAACAAGAAGTCACATAGTACATTAAAAAGAACAACAACAAAGAAAAACATCTTGTGTCCAAGTCTTGGAGTTCATTCCTCTTAGCATCATCTCATATGGTCATATGTACATAGCTATTGAGCTATTCTGCTCATCTGCTAAGATTATCCTAGACATATACTAATTATTGAAAATAAGGGAAACCATGAGACCTGTGTTTCTTTGAGTCTTAATATGATGTTTTCCACGTCTTTCCATTTCCTTACAAATGGGATGGTGTCATTCTTTTTGATGGACACGTAGAATTCCATTGCATACATACATACATACATACTTACCTACATATATCACATTTTCTTGATCCATTGATCTGAGGGGCATCTGGGTTGGTTCCATATCTTACCTATGGTGAATAATACTGCGATAAACATAGTTGTGCTGGTAGCTTTAGTGTGGAACACTATGCTTTTAAGAGGAAAGATTTGTAATTACTGGCCTGTGCCACCTAGGAGGCACTCATGTTCTCTTCTGGAAGGGTTTCAGAAATGAATATTTAAGTCATTGTCCTTGTGTTACTACATGATTTGGGTGAGGATAATTTGAGACAGTGTCAAGTCTGAGTGTCTGAAGGCACTGGACCTAAGATGTCTGTCTAGGAAGCTCAGCAAGTATTTCTAGAGGGCCCATCCTGTTAAAGTTGCACATTCCATGCCTCCTGGAGGGGCACGATGAGGTGGCCTCACGTGACTCTGTGCATAAAACTAGATTAGATGCCATTGGGCTAGTGGCACAGGATGCTTGAGACAGGGAAAGTAGATTGGCTCTCTGCTCTTAGAGCGGGTTGTGATATACTTAAGGAAGTAATTCTCAGTTAAGATTTGAGGAGGGCAATACATAGCACTTTCTTTCCTTGTCCATTATCAGAACCAACTGAAGCACAGGAATCAGGCCAGTAGAGGTTAAAGTATCACAACATATGACCAATAAGGCTGGTCCTGCAGAGCAGTTTAGTTTATATTTGTGGAGAATATATCTGTAGGAATGAATCCTACTAACAGATAGATTCATTTACCTTTTAAAAGTTGCATTGGGGAACTGCAGGCTCATCTTCCCACCAGCCATCACCCCTGCTCTATGCTTTCCCTCCTAATTCTCACAGAATGGAGGACTGTGCAGAACAGAGAAGAAGATGTCCAGTTCTGGGCTCCTAAATTATAAACTCAGGGGAAAAATACCTAGAGTGTTACATTAAAAGATGTTCTTCCAGAAGAAAATACTAGATCAGAGAAAAGAAAGTTCCTTTCATCAACAAGTCCTGATGATCAGCTCAAGATGAACTGAAAGACAATGTATGGCAACTATGAATTTTGGCACACAGTGTATATTTAAGTACAGAAAGAGAATGATCGGAGTACTATGCGTTTGATTAAAAACATCTCCAGAGAGGGCAGTGGATTCAGTTTGGTGAAGAGAAATGTCACATTTAAACAGATTGACCTGTTAAAATGGGGAGAGTTTCAGTTGTGAGCTCGAACTGTGGAAACATAAAAAAAGGCCTCCCAAGATGACTAATATGGTAGATTTTACGATGTCAGAGACAGAGATGTGGGTTAGCATCATCAACCCCAGTAGTTGGAATATAAAGAGTAGATGGCACAGTTCCAGCTGCACAAGTCCCCAGGCATCAGGCCCAGATGGTGTGCTCTGCAGTGGCTTGCATGTAAATCTGCAGCAGTGAAGAGGATGGGAATGAGGGCTCCAGTAAGATGAGGCTCCTGGTATTGGAAATCATGGCAGAGGGTCTGCTCATGTGATTTAGTCCTTGTTTGATATATCAGCAGTGTTTTCTGGGCTTCCTCAGAAAAATAAGTGCACAAAGCATTGTTTGGAGCAAAAGAAATGATTTTCAAATTTGTTAGCTTTTTAAAAAAATGTCTGACCTGCTGGGATACATCCGAGAGCTGTAAGGGGGCAGGCCCAGTGCTGTGATGTTTTCTTTTGAGTTTTCTGTTGTTTCCTTGAAAATGGTTGCAAATTCCATAGAAACTGAGGAGGAGGGACTAGGAGGAATAGCAAGACAGATCTCACAAAACTGGGTAATTCATAGATCATGACTTGATTTTTAAAATGCTATGTATGACTTTTTTTGGTATATATTTTTTATTGTAAAGGTACTATACAGAGGGGTTACAGTTACATGAATAAGGTAATAAGTACATTTCCTATCAAGCATTGTTACCTCCGCCTTTGTTTTTCCCTAATATCCCTTCCTTCCCCACCTTCCCAACTCCTCTGTCTCCTCTTCCCCCAGAAGTTGTGCAGTTCATTTTCAACACAGTGTCTTGTATGTATCATTGTTACAATGGGCCAACCTGTATCCTTATCTGTGTCCCTATCTTGGGGTTCATTTCACTTTACATCAATGGGATTGCATAAAACTGCAGAGCTTCTGCATGGCAAAGGACATAGCAAGCAAGATCAATAGAAAGCCCATGGATTGGGAGAAGATCTTCACTAGCCATACAACTGACAAGGGTCTCATACCTAAAATTTACTTAGAACTCACAAAATTAAATCCCCCAACAACAAATCTTCAAAGAAACAACTGCCCGATTAATAAGTGGGCTAAAGACTTAAAGAGAAACTTTTCTGAAGAGGAAATAAGAATGGCCAATAGACACATGTATGACTTTTTAAAATGGTGGATTGTGTTTTTCTTTCAAAACATGTTTTTCTTAGGGTGACATATATGTTGGTTTTCTTAGAGTACCTAGAAACTGACAGCTGAAAATTATTCAATTAAAAAAGGATATTAAAATTAACTATGAATGTACATACAGATAATCAAGATTTAAGAAGAATGATTTCCGTTTGATCTGTTTGTTGTCTGTACATTTAGGATTATTCATACTTATGTGTAAATAAGTGGTGTATCTAAATCTGTAAGCTAGCTCTTGTCAAGGTAGATTATCTAATTCTAATGCTATTCAGAGATGTCAGTCCAGAGTTTGATGTGATTGAGGATAGAGAGACAGACCCAGGGGACCTTTGGGAACTCATATCCAAGATTCAGTGAATTGTCTGTTCAATAGCTCATCACATAAAATGATCTATCTGACATGCTGACCACAGTTCCTGGAACACAGGGAACTCTCTAATACTTAGCCACATGGTGAAATAGTTACTAGATTTTAATTTGAAAATGGTTATGATATAGCATGTAAAAATCATAATGTTGTTAGCAAGTTCTTATCTGCTAGATGCTGTTAATTAACTGAGGTATAAGAAAGTACTCTATGTCTAATTTAATTTTATATCACAGAATAAATAGGTTCTCCTTGCTGCCATGTTTAATTATTTTTTTTTCGGAGCAAGAGAAATTCAGCCATAGAGAAGTCAATCAGATGTGTTCTGCCGCCTACCTCCTTGCATGGAAGAGGGCAATGCCTATAAAGAACTCGTTTGTCCTCCACTTTAGCTGAAGAGGCAGTTAAACATTCATTGTATTTCCTAAGGCATGAATGGGATCACAGTCCAAATTGGAATCCTTTTCTTGGGGAGGCTTTACTAGGGGCATCCTGGGACATTCCTCAATGTCTTGCCCTTTGCCATTGTATTGGACCTTTTAGACGTTTCATTTTAGGGAGAGGGATATAGAAGGATAGTTCTGACATATAATTGATTGAACATGTGGGAAAGGCTGATGGACTTTCTAAATGGACTTTCACCTGGGGGCCTTTTAGCAATGGACAGAGCATGAAACTTGAGCTTGCATGGTCTTTTGACCATGGTTGGCTGTGTCTATCTTGATCTGAATTCTTTACTATTCACCATGTGGTCTCAGGTAAGCCTCTAGGTCTTTATACCTAAATTTCTTTTATGAGGTCAGGTGGGAATTTAAACCTCTTTCCTAACTGTCTTATGACAGTTAAGAGCTCAGTACATGCCACATTATTTGAACAGAAGTAAATTCCCACCGAGTTGTCACTGTAAAAGTTATTTCAGAAAGAGAAAGAAATTAGTGGTGTAATACATTGGCACCTGAAGGAATGGGACCATTAAAAAATGAGTTAATGTTTGTACCTATTCATTCCCAAGACTTTGCTTCTATAGTCCATTCAATGAGAATGCAAATTACTGACCAACCTTTTAATATTCCTTTCAGGGACACCTGTGTGGTTCTTTGTGAAAATTGCTCCAATTCGCAACGAACAGGATAAAGTGGTTTTATTTCTTTGCACTTTCAGTGATATAACCGCTTTCAAACAGCCAATTGAGGATGATTCATGCAAAGGTTTGTAATTCTGACTTGTACAAATGCATTTTTACCTTTATTTTCCTTGACTGTAGCAAATTTTGCTATAGAGAATTTGAGGTTGCCAAGGCAATCCCTGCCCAAAGATCAAAATTTAAACTTAAATTTGTATTGGATAAAGTATGGTACCATTCTTCAATATATTAAGAGAAGATAGAAACAATTGTTTCTTGAAGCATCTAGTCTATTTTTTAGACCTTTGAAATTTAACCCTTTTGAATGATGATAGAGGAAAGCAGTTGGGCAAATGTGGTATCATTAGAACCTTTGCAGGTTTTCACCTGGTGAATATTAGTAGCTCAAATGGGGCAGGTCCTGACCATATCCACTGGACTTAGCATATATAAACTTGCTTAGAGCTGGATGAGTTCTAGCACTTCAAGATTGTTATAGCAGATGTTAACACATCTCTACCTCTGGAGTTGACTTAATGAACTCTGTGGGTGGTAAATTCATTATGAACATGGAATTAATGAGGCCAGGGTCTTGAGTGACACTTCCACAGGGGGTCATTTAATCATCTCCCAAACTACAGTTGGAGACATACCACATGCATAGAGTGTTTAAATACCATTGGAAATCTAGGAAAGGAGATGGCAGGATTAATGGAAAAAGTATCCTTGAAGAGGTCTAGCTTCCTGGGATATAATATTTTCAGGGATTTGGATTGGGCTGGGAAGGTGGCTCAGTGGTAGAGCGCTTGCCTTGCATGCAGGAGGCCCTGGGTTTGATTCCTCAGCACCACATAAGCAAAAAGAAAAAAAACCAGAAGTGGTAGAGCGCTAGCCTTGAGCTGAAGAGCTGAGGGACAGCGCCCAGGCCTAGAGTTCAAGCCCCATGACCAGACCCCTCCCCTAAAAAAATATATTTTCAGGGATTTGGGATCAAGTAATGTCATATTCCTATTTCATATCCCTCTTCCATAGCTTCATAACCAAGAGGTCAGGAGCTGTTTCACATGGCAGGACTAGCTGGCTTTGGGGTTGATTTTCTAGATCTATCAAAAAACACGACTCCTGTGGTTTTCAGAGATGCAGCAGAGAGATGAGAATGTAGAGTCTAGGGGATAGTCAAAACTGTGTGTAGTATTCTGGATATGACAGAGTTTGATTGTTAAACAGGCATTACAGGAAGATGTAAAAACCATTATGTGGATGTCTTCGAAGGCCTATATCCTTGGAGGGTATTTTCAATTCTGGCACATCTAGAGGCTTATGTTTATAGAGTGTAGAACATGGTGCTGGGTATACCAGTGTTTCCTATTTTTCCAACTGACTGATGGCTGAATATAAATCAGTTTCAGCCTGCAAAGGCAGGCTTTGAAGATTACACAGATTAAACAGTGTTACAGTCCCCTCAAGTCTCTCTGCTTGCAGATTGTGATTGTTCAGCTTCTAGTTTCTGATTAGAAAGTGTCTCAGTGAGTCAGGTGACTCATTTATCGAGTGTCATCATCTTATCATATAGAAAGGCCCTTTGTTTATAACTTAATAAACTCATGAGTAATATTTGTTACTATTAGCATATGTTAGTTATTCATGGGGGAATTTTCTTATTGATGAGTATTCTTTTAAAGGCAGTCAGATATTTTGAGACTTACACGTTGGCAAGTTTTCGAAGAGAGAGGAAAATGTTCCTCCTCTGCCATGCCCGTGTATCCAATTGATTCTTATGAAATCTGAAAGAAGAAATAAATCAGAGGGATGTAGTGAGATTCCCAGGTTTATTTTCCAGGAATAATGTTCTCTGTTTCATTTAATTTGCCTCTGTGATGAATCATTAGAGATAAGAATTTTGGTCATCTTGTTGTCTCTGTCTCTCTGTCTCTGTCTCTCTCTTGCGCATGTGTACATCCATCTTACTCCCTTTTAGCCAAGATATCCTTCTTGCAAAGTATTAATTCTTTTTATCAGTGAAGTAAGATGACTAACCTGTGGTTCTATGTATAAAAATATTAGATCATCCCTCCACATATGCCTTGGCCTTTAATATAAGAATCCTACTAGTGAACCAAATTTACTGTTTGCTCAAAGACATGGTTTTATAGGACAGTCCTTACCCAATGCTATGGCAGATATCTTTTAGCCCCTGCCTCTTGTCATGTCACCATGCCCCTGGTCCACTTTGATTTGGTGGTCTGTTTAGGGCAAAGCCACATTTTCTAATAGCTTGTTTATGGTGGAAGAACATGATATTTCACAGACCTTGTTAGCTGTAAATTATAAACTTCAGTTCTGGCTGCAAGGATTGAATCTAGATGGAAACTGTGCTGCCATATGGCTGGATTGTTCTGGCTTGACATCTCTTCTTGGATGTGCTCTTAGTGGTTCATTTCCAGCTGAGCCAGCTGGATTTGCAGTACAGCATCTCCATCAGCATTAAATATCTTAAGAGTCTTGCTGACCCAGGTTTGTTTAGAACTCACTTTTAAAATGAAATGGAAGAGTGGATATTCTATAACCCCAGAAAAGTACCAAATAATTGCGCTTTGGCATAGTCTCGAGGACTGTTTTGCTATCACTAGATTTAGTCCTTTAAGTCAACTGTGCTCAAATGGTCTTCAAATGATTTTGTTTTCTCTGATCCAGTTGTACCTAATTTTGGGGGTTTGGGTAGAGCCTGATAGTGATGCACGAAGCCAGTTTGTGTCTAACATTTTCCTTAACTCATGAAGAGGCAAGCACATGGGATAATTAAGAATGGACCATTTTTGTATATGACATCACTCCCTTTCTACCTAGAGCTTTGTGGACTAATGATGGTCCTGGGAATGTTGCCTGAGCCCTCTTTCCTTCACTCAGTTCTCACAATCTTTTTCTAAAATAAGTTACTCAGCTCTTGGCTTCTTCATTGTTCTTGTCCACCTTCTGACGATTTCCCCTCTGACAGTGCTAACACATGCAAGTTGAGCAAGGCTTGCTGTTCCGAAATAGGTGAGAATTCTTGGGTGCAGTGAGGATGTGTAGTACTCCAGAGGTTTCATTTATTCCTTATCTCTTGCTTTTTCTTCATTGAGAGTAGACTGCAGGAGTTTGCCCTGATCATTCTCCATTCTGAGCAATGCAGCTTAGGCAAGTGGAGAGAATTAGAATGTGAGGCTCAGAACTTTCCTTTTATCTTGGTCACAAAAGGATGTGCCTCTTCTTGTTACCTCTTTTACTGCACCAAGTAATCTCATATTAAAGGAAAGAATTCATTCTTAAAGATCCATGTCATTAATTCTGCATGTAGAGTCAAACCTGAGTCAAATGCAGTTGACAAAAGAAATTCAAGTCTCCATAGATTTTTTTTTTAAGGATCAAAGCTTTAGATTATTTAGAGATAGGGGTTTTGGCAAGCTGTTGTGACTGCCAACCCTTCTCCCTGTGCCTTCCTGTGGCTTATTTATGGGACCCCTTTGAGAAAGACACAGGTTCAAGTTTCAGGCTACCCGCCTACAATACAAACATTTAATCTTTCTGCCCTTAGGGTGACAAAGGTAAGAGTTAGTGATTGTTACCTAAAGAAGCCTTCCTAGTTTTTGCATATTTCCATACTCAGGGGGAAAAGACTGTGGGAAGAAGACTTGAAGGCACATAGGCAGTGGTCCATACTACTCATCTATCTACTGGATGCTGCGTTATGATCTCAGCAGCTCTAAGAGAATCTGTGACTCTGTATCTTAGGACCAATCTGGTCCTTTCTTTTCTGGTATCCTGGACTTACTTTCAGAGGAGCTGGAATTCTACCTCATTCCAGAACCATATCTTCTGGCCTAGAGAGGATGCAAGGCTTGTAGGATAAAACAGCCCTGTGATTTGCTCATTCAATTTGAAACCAGTAGTCCTTGTAGAAAAGTAGTCATCTGACCCAAGGCTAGGAATAAGGACTCAGAAAATATGTTAGCTGTTGCTAGATTGCATACCATGTTCCCTGTCTTCTATCCTTTTCCCTTCACTCTTTCTCTTCCCTTCTGCCCTATCTTTCCCATTTTCCTGATTATATGCTGCCTTTGGGCTTCCAATGACACCCACAAGCCTCACGTTTAACTTTCTGATGATATTTGTCATAGCTGGAGAAACCCTGGGCTAGGAGTTTCTTCATCTGAGCTCAGTTCATTGTTAAATTTCCAAATGTAATATCATTGGAGCAGTGAGTATAAAAATGCTTGCCACAGAGAAAGGCACAGAAACATCCCACAAAACTGAGTAGAGTTTGTGAAATGGACTGCTTATCTTTTGATATTTATAGGTCTTGGAAGCCCAGACAGAAATAGGGCAATGAAAGGGAAAAAAGTATTTGTTCTTCATCTACAATGATTGCGCGCGCACACACACACGCATGCTCACACACACACACACACACACACACACACACACACTTTTGAGTGTCTTTTGGATGGTTGGCTTCATGCCAGGTGCTGAATGTAGGGAAATGTCTGTGGGAGAGCTACTCTCCATTAGAGAGTACTTGGTGGAGAGAAAGGTAAGCAAATATGAACCACAGTGCACAATCAGCATTTTAGTTACTATTCTTGCTATGACAGAATGCCTGACATACAACTTTGGGAGGAAGGATTTCTTTTGTTTCTTAGTTTTGGAAGGTTTGGATCATGGTTACTTGCCCCAAGTGCTTGCATAGCACATCATGGTAGAGATTCTTTATCCCATAGCAAAGAGGAAGCAGAGAAAAACTGGAAGGAGTCAGGGGCTAGGCACAGCCTTCAAAAACATGCCCCTAGTGGTTGTTTCTTCCAGCTAAGCACCACCTACTCAATGTCTACAACCTCACACATTAGTGCCACTGGCTAGGGACCAAGCATTCAACACAAAAGCCTATGGGGACATTTCATATTCAAACAGCAACATTCTACCTTGGCGCCAAAGGTTGCATTTAGTCTATTTTCAGGAGTCCCCAAAGTATTAATTAACAGTTCCAACATGGTTCAATAGTTGAAGTCTGAAAGTTCCTCTGAGACCTAGGGCAAACTCTTGGCTGGGAGCATCCTGTGAGTACAATTCACATACTTGCAATACATAATAGTACAGAGAAACACTCCCATTCTACAAAGGCAGAATGGGAGATGAACAAGGGAAGGATCTGACTAAAGCAACACTGAGAACCAGCAGGGCTGTAACTCCACATCTGGAGTACCAGGTGTCCAGAAGTCAGCCCCAACAGGTCAGGGCAGCCCTGACCTGCTCTTGCTATGTGCAGTCCACATGGCCTCCATCTTGGGCTGGCTATACTCATTGCTTGTGACTTCCCTCAGCAGATGATCTTCATTCCAGGAGTCTCCAGCATCCTGGATTTCCATTGTAGCTTAGGCTCTATCCTCAAGGCTTCTTGCATCTCCTTCTCAGGGGCTCCTTGTAGGGAATATGACCCTGAGCTCTCCGTGGGGCTGCAGTGGTGATGGACTGCTGTGGTGTTGATGGCGGTGTTAGGGTGGTGCCAACCAATTTTTACCTGACCCCCTCAGATATACTCCTCTGCTTTTCTTGAAAAGATTTACAGAATTCAGTCCCAGGTTTGTCTTAAGCTGAGAGGAAAGCTTGACTCTGAAAGAGATTTTTTTTTTAAACATTGCAGTCCACATTTCCATAGCACACTCCAGTGAGTAATTTATAAACGCTCCATTTGGGGGAGACATCAAAGACTCCTGTGGAGTTACCTCCTGTTAACATTAATGGAACCCCCAGAGCTCAATCACTGTGCACCACTTTTCAAAGTGACACTAGTAGTCCTGCATCTCTGCTTCATGGGGTCAAGGTGGATGAAAGTACCAGTAGCTTTTGTTAAAGCTCAGTACTTCCAGAATGGGATAAAAAAAAAAAAGGAGCTGGCTTAGTGTTGCTGCTATGTTGACCAAAATTCATCCAGATTATGATTCTTAAAAATTGTGCAAAGAGCACAATTTTTGTGGATTCCATCTGTCTTAGAAAGATGCTCCAGGGTAAAATTTGGAAGATGAGATTTCTTTTACAAGGCACCAAATTTAAAGTTACACAGTCCTGCCGTTAGCTGTCATATAAAAATAGTTGCACTTTATTTGCTGTATACCCATGTCCAGGGTTTTGGGGTTCTTGCTCTTGAGAAACCTGACAGGCTTTCAGGAATCCTAGGGACAGCTGCCAAGGTCTTAATCTTGATGCAGATAGGGTTTTGCATATTGGAATGGATGTTTATTTTTAAGGGCCTTTCAGAGTAGTAAAGATCATTCAGGCTTCTTAAATTCTCAGAAAAAGATCTGTTACCAACTATCCTTTTTTTTTTTCTTCCCCAAGCAGACAAATGGCAGCTACTGACTAGTCTCCATCTGTGCCAGAGTGGAATTCACTTTTTCTCCTGGTCTTGGAGTTGTCGGTGTCTGGAAAGGCCATTTTATGAGCTTGTCTATTTAAAACCCAGGAAGGACTAGCTCAGTTTCGGCAAATCAGATAGTGGGACCAGCCTAAATCAGGCAAACAAATGAGAGAAACATTTTGATTGGTGGAGAAGCTTTGAGCCAGAGAGGAGAAATCTGAATTCTAGACTTGTTCTCATTGTCTGGGTGTTCTGTGCCTCAGTTTCCCTGTTTGTCAGAAGGCACTGAACACTGTTCTATCTCATCTTCATGCTGTGATCCCGATGATGTGCAAGTGCCTGGGAAAAATAAATTGCTGCCTAATTTCAAGTATGTGAACATGCTTTTCTAGAGTAGCGAGCTTTGCTGGCGGGGGTGGGGAGTGACTCATGGGAGGCTCAGTGGGACATTTGGGGTGTCTGTTCCTGACAGTATGACTGGTGATGTGACTGTCTATGCTCTTTTAGGAGGTGGTTGACTGTGTCTTTCTGCTCTTCCTCATCCTTCAGGCTGGGGGAAGTTTGCTCGTCTGACCAGAGCACTGACAAGCAGCAGGGGTGTTCTGCAGCAGCTGGCTCCCAGTGTGCAAAAGGGTGAAAATGTTCACAAGCACTCCCGCCTGGCAGAGGTAAGGGCAGGGGGCAGTCATCTTAAAGCTCACTTCTTGGGGAGCAGATGGGGTGGTTACTTTGCACAGAACGAGTGTGCTGGCTTGGAGGGGTCAGGACCTGCGGAAAGGGTGGGAAGGCAACCTTGTCTTGGCTGGGCTACAGCCTACAGTGTGTGACTTAGGGTAAGTGGCTCCAGTCCCCATCGAAGCCTTGGGTTTTCTCTCAGGTAAAAGCAGACTAGAGAAAGCTGTGTTCCAACTTTCATGGTATCTGTTTTTGAGGGCAGAGGAAAGAGCTAGAAAGTGCTTCCTATTCATAAAGGTCTTACTTAAAAAAAAATAGTTTTGTTCTTCGAACAATGCCTAATGCTATAGGAAAGACACAGGAAGAAAAATAATGGTAATACCACAGACCACATCTTATTGTCACACTTTTTTGGTGTTAACACTTGTTTTTGCATGTATTTTATTTTCCAAAGACCAACAACTTCATTTGCATACGTTAAGATTTGGGATATGTGGGCCACGCCTCTAAGTAAGAGTTAGCGTGCACGTGGAATGAAGTCACGTCTTTTCTTCACTTTATATCACCAGCAACCTCTTTCCACTACTATTGCGATAACTTTGCTAGTAAGGAAATCTCATGTTATCCCTTTGGCTGGGATAACTGAGAGGCTGGGAAGCCAGGATAAGGTGTTTAATCAGGCTTCATGCTTGCACATCACTGTGAACTGCCAGCGGTTCTGCCTGCTCTTCTTTCTTCAGTGAACCTGAGTAGGACCAGGTAGGGGCATTGAACCCTTCACGCTGCAAACATCCATCTTACTCAGATGTGGCAGTATGAGCTGTTCCTTTGCTTGGAGATAGCCAGTTCATGGCCCCTGAGCTGGGGCTTGTTGTGTGATCTTTTCTGATCTGATTTCTGGGCCTGTTTTGCCAAGGTAGAAACAGCTGGTGTGGTGTGGCTACAGTGGGTGCTCTGCATATGGGTAGCACCTGTTGAGTGAGTTGATTGCAGGAAATCCCCTTGTAGCAGCTGTGAGCTTTTGCCCATAGCAATTAGTTTAGTGCTTGCCTGATAGCTGGGTACTATGGCCTAGTTAAGATGACACAGAAAACTAGCAATTACGGTTCATCCCTTGATTGATATCTGGGTGCTCATACACATGTCCTTAAACTGTACTTAATTTTGAAAGGAGTTAGACAGACATCCTTCTTCTTTACCTGATCACTGTCCTACATGAGAAATAGAAAACATGCCTGCCCTCTCCCCAGAAGAAGATGCAAAGTCCTTGGTGATCATTCTTTTCCTTTATATCTTGAACTTAAATATTCTGATGTAAGTGTAACCATTATCACTACATCTGATATCACAAGATAAGAGAAAAAGAATGGGAGGAAAATACTAGCCAAATAAAGTAAGATAAAGTTCCTGCTTTCCTGTTTTAATCTGCTCTGTTTTTTTGCTACTTTTCTTCTATTCATTTGACTTAAAAAATTGTGGTTATTAAATATTAATTTTTATTAATTAATTGTTATAAATTGTTATTAATTAGTTGTTATAAAGGTGATCTACAGAGAGGGTTATCATTTCATAAGTCTGATAATAAGTACATTTCTTTTTAGACAGTGTCACCCCTTCCTTTCCTCTCTTCCAGTTCCTCCCTCCTGTCCCCATCCACAAGTTATACAGTTCATTTTCAACGCAGTGTCTAGTGAGCATCACTGCTGCATTTGAGGGCCCTTTGTCCCTCCACTCCTGTGCCTTCCCTTGACCCTTTCAAATACAAACAAATGAATAAACGAGAAAAAAAGTATCCTTTAGCCAGGTGCTGGTGGCTAAAGTCTATAATCCTAGCTACTCAGGAGCCTAAGATCTGAGGGTGGCAGTTCAAAGCCAGTCCAGGTAGGAAAGTTTGTGAGACTCTTATCTTCAATTAACTACCAAAAAGCCAGAAGTGGCTCAAGTGGTAGAGTGCTAGCCTGGAGCAAAAAAGCTCAGCAACAGTGTCATGAGTTCAGGCCCCAGGACTGGCGCGTGTGTGCACACCCCCCCCCCCCCCACACACACACAATTGTCATGTGGTGTTCACTGATAAAATACAAGCACTTAGAACCATGTCTGGCAAAAAGTAGATGCTCAGTACTGTTTATCTTATTAAAATTGATTTAAAAATGAAAGAAATGATATTAGACTTTTTTGTCTACCTGTCTGTTATAAATAACTGGGCATTGATTCCAATATGGGCCAAAATATTAGAAATATTTCATCCCCAGGGTAAGCCTGGCTAAAGCCTATTGATTTTATTGGTATTTTCAGAGAACCAGCGTTTGCTCTTATTGAGTTTCTCTGTTGATTTTTCTGTTTCCTATTTCTAATTTTTGTTATTTATAGTCATCTGCTGACTTTGGGTTCAATTTACTCTTCCTTTTGGAGTTTCTTAAAGGAGGAGTTTAGATCATTGATTTTTGATCTTTCTTCTCTTCTGATATATACATTCAGTCTTAAAAATGTCCAAGTACTGCTTTAATTGCAGGCTATAAGTTTTTTCTTTTCATTTAATTAAAACCATATCTTAATTTCTTACAAGATTTCTTCTTTGGCCTATGTGTCATGGAGAAGTGATTTATTTAATTTCCAAGTGTTTTTGGATTTTCTAGTGTTTTTTTTTTTAAATTTTGTAAAGTGTTCTGTGACCCAGAATGGGCTGTACTAGACAAATGCTCTATGTGAACTCAAGAGAACATGTATTTTACTGTTAGTCAGCTTTCTGTCACTATGCAGTGATCCCTCGCCTAGCCGTGTTATATAGTAATCCCTTGCTATATTGTCTCATTTATTGTTTCTTTGTGGATTTTCACCTATCCCAGAGGTCTCCAGAAAGTAGCTCCTGAGATAGGTGAGGGGTCATTATTTATGTTTTTTTCTTTTTCTTTTTAAGCCCATGATACAGTGAAACTGCAGTAAGTGAACTGTGATACAGCAGGGGACAACTGTAACAAATTACCTGCAGATTTACAAGCAGGAAGCTGGGAGACGAAGGTACAGGGGCTCATGCTTGTAATCCCAGCTTCCTGATCGGTGGAACTTGTTATTTGATGCTGGCCCAAGCAAAAAATTAGCAAGACCCTGGGCTGGGAAGGTGGCTCAGTGGTAGAGCACTTGCCTTGCATGCTCGAGGCCCTGGGTTCGATTCCTTAGCACCACATAAGAAAAAAAAGCCGGAAGTGGCGCTGTGGCTCAAGTGGTAGAGTGCTAGCCTTGAGCTGAAGAGCTGAGGGACAGCACCCAGGCCCAGAGTTCAGGCCCCACGACTGGACCCAAAAAAAAAAAAATTAGCAAGACCCTATATTAAAGAACAAATTAGGCACGGTGAATCACACTTGCAATCCTCGGTGTGTAGGAGGATTGAGGTCTGAAGTTAGCCCAGGCAAAAAGTGAGGCTGTGTGTATGGTTCAAAAGGTAGAATGCCTGCCTATCAAGTACAAGGCTGTGAGTTCAAACCCAGTGTCACCAAAACCCAACCCATGCAAACAACCAAACAAGAACTATGATACATGGTTTTAGATGTGTCAGACTCATTGTGTTTAGCCCTCTAGTGGGAGTGCAATATGGTGGTGCTGTATGTGATGAGAAATGGATGACCTGGTGACCAGGAAGCAAAAGAGAAAGGAGCTGGTGTTCCACCATCCCCTCCAAGAACACACTGCCAGAGACCAGAAGAGCTGCTAGTGGCTTTGGCTCCTAAAGATTCTACCAGTTCCCAATAGTGTCACACCAAGAACCAAGGCTTCAATATGTGGACCTTTGGGGGCACTCAAGATCCAAATTAGAGCAGCTGTTGTTGGGTGAAATTAATTATGTCACTAGAGCTAGTTGATGGATGGTGTGATTGAGTTTAACCATATTCTTACTGATTTTTCTGACTGTGGATGGTTCTATCTCTAGAAGGTTGTGGATACCTTTATCTACAAGAGTAAATTCATCTGCTTCTCCTTGCAATTTTGTCCCTGTATGTTGACAATCTGTTAAGTACATGTACATTACATGTTGTTATATCTTCTCAAAGAACTGTTACTTTTTCTTTTTCTGTCTGTTGTGGGGCTTGAACTCAGGGCTTGGGTACTGTCCCTGAGCCCTTTGTGCTCAAGGCTAGCACTCTACCAACTTGGGCCACAGTGCCACCTCTGGGTTTTGAGTGTTTAATTGGAGATTAAGAGCTCACAGGACTTTCTGCTTAGGCTTGCTTCGAACTGCAATCCTCAGATCTCAGCCTCCTTAGTAGCTATGATTATAGGCGTGAGCCACTGGTGTCCAGCTGAGAATTGTTACTACTAGAACTAGAATGCCACTTTTTATCTTCAATAAATTTTGTTTCCTCTGAGTCTGGTCTGTTGGAAGTTAATATGGCTACTCTGGTTTTCTTTTTTCTTTTTCTTTTTTTTTTTGGGTCCAGTCGTGGGGCCTGAACTCTGGGCCTACGTGCTGTCCCTCAGCTCTTCAGCTCAAGGCTAGCGCTCTACCACTTGAGCCACAGTGCCACTTTGGCTTTTTTCTTTTTGCTTATGTGGTGCTGAGGAATTGAACCCAGGGCCTCAGGCATGCAAGGCAAGCGCTCTACCTTCCCAGCTCCTACGGTTTTCTTGATTAATGTTTTCACCTTAGATACATCTTTTCCCATCTCTTTACTTTTAATCTCTATTTGTCCTTCTATATTATAGTGGTTTCTCTAGATAACTTGTAGTTGGAACTGTCTCTTCTTTCAATTGGTGTATTTAGTCTATTGAAGTTTAAAAAGATGACATCTAAGGTTGCTGCTCTTTTCTATTCATTGCTGTTTGTTGTCCATTCTCTTTCTGTCCTTTTTGGCTTTTAGTCGAGAATTAAAAAAATTATTCATTCATTTTTCCCACCTTTCTTATCACATACCTTTTTAGTGGTGGTCCTAGAGTTTGCAATCTACAGTTACAACTAATTCAAGTCCACATTTCAAAGCTTTATAATGTGGTACCTTAC